GCCCAGAGCAGACAATGAAAGCCCTAAGCAGTAATATCCCCATCCAGATTTCCCACTTACTGGGGAAGAGGGCTGGGAGTAAAGACAGTGAAAATAAAGACAAAGGCTGAAAGACAAGGGGGAAAGTTCAGACTATTTCTACAGTCTTCTTGTTAACAATAACGGCAGCTCAATGCTCTAAACATTTTTGGATTTGGAGCTTATGTATCTGCAATACAAGTGCATCCCGTTAACTTCCACAGCTCCCGTGTTCTGGGCAACGGTGCTTTACAAAAAGCCATAGGGCAAGCACATTGGACACCACCCCAGGCTGCTTCCAGCAGCTTTAAACCTAACAACGTGTACTCTTACTTATGCACCTTATCAGGAAAAGTAATAACATCTCTTTGTCCATAGAATAATTTAGCACAGCTATTGAGAGGTGGCTTTTAGCAGAAATCCTCAATAACTTAGACTCATTTTTTTAGCTAACAGTTTTCACTTACAATAATACATAGTCTGAGTGAGCCAATTTTCTGGCAAGTCTGAAGAGGTGTGAAATCTCAGACACATTTCATTACCATACCAAAAATCTTTTACTTGAGAATGTTATGCTAAACTTTTTCCCTGATCCCCTCTTTTTCTTTCTCCCATGCAGATGGAGAAGACTCGGTAAGTGTGTCAAGTTCGCTGTCAAGCCCCTTAAGAACTCTCAAATGACCTTGTCAGAAGAAAAAATAAATCCTAACCCTTTGATCCATATTTTAAATTCCTGACTAACCTGCCCCTTCCACTCTGCTGCTTTGTGGCTTCTGCAGCTCTGACAGAATTGAGTTCAGTATTAATGACTAGCAATCATTTTCAGGCTATACGCTCTCCTGCCTTCTGCAGACCAAATGCCTCGTTAGCTTAGCTCTGCGGGTGAGATGCTCACCTTTGTATTGGTTTCTCCTGGGTTCAAGACAAATAAAAAGCCGGGCTTGTAACTAGGCTAAAAATAAATTCCCATCACTCAAACGCCCTCCAAGACGCAGCTGAATCATTCAAGTTGACTTCCCTTGGAAAGGCATGCTCTGCAAAGGTACCTCGTGCGACTCTAGGGGTGGTTTCACTGCAAGTCATGTGCCAGTCTGCTTGATTATGTGGCTGGTGGCTTTCAGTGCATAATTAAATAATTCAATCTGCTGAATAAAGCTAGCTTTATGCTAGAAAAGAATATAGAGTTGGCTGGACCCAGCAGACTCTTCTATAGATGATGGAAATAAAGCACAAGCTGAAGGCAGAACGCCGCTGATTTTCAAAACCTTTGAGTACTGCTGGGTTTTAAATCTGTTAAACATACCGAATCCTCCAGCTGCCTTCGTGAGATCACTTCTGGCAGGTAACAGCTACCCTCAGCTGCTTCCAAACCCGGCCCCCCGTCTCCTTCATCAGGATTCTACAGTCTGGCTCCCATATAATGACTTCACAATTAGAATATTCAAACATGAGTTTTGATTTAGAATTGAGAAATAGATTTTAAACATTAAGGACTTGTAAACCTGTCTCACAAGTGGATATTCACACAAGTTAGCCTTGGCTTAATGATGCTAGACTGATTTACCCAGACAACCCAGGGAGAGAGGCAGCCGTCTGCTTTCATTCACCCACTGGAGAAGCTTTTTCTCTTCAGTCACTGTAGGAAGAACCTGGGTGCTGTGAGGTTAAAATTTGCCTTTGGGATATCTCTCAGAATAACAACTGTGTGGTGACAACAGAGCTCCTATGCATCTCAGGAACAAATCAGGGCTCCTTACTGCAGGATGTGCACAGGCTGTCTGGATACAAGAACCCAAAAGAACATAAAATAAAAGCATTTCTATCTCCAAAATTATATAAGAGTACAGGGGACATTTAAACACCACAAAGACAAAAGGAACAACATGCAAAAATATGTCAGGGAAGGAAGAATGGAGAACTAAAGACTAAAGACATTAAATTTTCCGGCAGCTTGCACTGCATAAAAGCTCTAGGATACATTCTTCTCACTGTTCATTTTTCCCTGCATGGAAAATACCAGAAATGAAATGTGTGGTGGAAAACACCTAGAAAAGATAAAATATTCCTTCCTTCCTTCATCTCAGCTCTTCCTATTTAAATAGTTCTCTCTATATATACACATCTATATAGCACATACACCTTCATACATGTACATATATCTATATGTATATATATAAACTAAGGATATATATGAAGAATGACCTATTGACCAAATACAATCCGTTTGTAAGATTTAAACGAGGCAAAAGCAGCGCACAGCTCTCTATGCAAGGCCAAGTATCACACCCAGACTGCATTGCCCAGTCTGCGTTCTGCTTTCTTACAACAATCCATAGCCTCTGAGAAATTTTCCACCGAAAGAGAAATGATCCTTTATTCTGTAAGGAGACAGGAACCTTTAACAGATGTACGACTGTTTGTATCGCTTCAAGCTATCCACGTGTGATTTCAAATCTCTAAGGCGATCTGTGGTTTTGCCCAGCGTCAAACGTCTCAGGAACACAAGGAAGAAGACACTTTCAAAGCAGCTCTAAATCTGTTGGCAATACTTCTTTTTCTTGCCAGGATTTACCTTTTTGTTTTTCACAGAAGGGTCACAAAGCCTCTGACAATGGTAGGAGCATAAGTTCCATTTGAAGTCAATAGGATTTGTAATCCTAGATCCCGCAAATGCCTTTGAAAATCTCTGTTGATCTATGCCTTGGCAAAAACATCCCCTTTCCCCTGAACACTGAAGTTCCATTTCCATAAAGACAGAGAATCTACACTTTTACCTCTAACATATGTAAGCCTCCAATGATATTCCTGGGAGCTACCTACATGCAATACAAAGAGCCTGTTTGGCAAGAAAATACAGAAATAGATTCAGTAAAGTGAATTTTCAAAAGCACCTTCAGAGACTTCCAATGGGTATTTTCTTCCTAAACACTTTAGTAATTCAAGATTCAAATCTCTGATCAGCAAAGCTGCTTCCTTTTATGACTCCTGTTTGTAAAATAAATGACTGGCACAGCTCAAATTGAAATGAATAAAGGAAGCATCGTGGTTTCATCTCCTCCACTGGTCTGTCATTTATCTGGTTACTCCTTAATTTGTTTGTTCATGCCTTTCCTTCTCCTTAACTGATTGACTCTTTCTTCTCATTTGTGGTATGATTCATGAGTATAATTTCATACTATTTGATTTCTATAGATGCATAAGAACGTTCTGATGTAACATGACTTGCCTTTTTTTAGGCAATTAAAAATTAGCTCAGTAATAATATTATTAGCTCAATAATTTGCTTAAGCAATTTGCTCACAGAAGTACCTTTTCTGAATGTAAAATCCCAACAATTCCATACCCAGAGAGCCACTTCACATTCTGAAGGGCAAAAGAAATCTCACACTCTACTTGAATGCCACTTGATTTTGAACATGGGATTCAACAGAAGGGAGGACTGTGCGATGGATCTATAATAACTGAAATTCATTTGTATTGTAGTTACCATGTAATGATCATTCCTTTCAATACAACTTTCAGATAACATCTTTGAAAACCCTTACAAATTTCAGAGCAGATGTAGATTGAAATTTATAGAATACCATTTTGAACAACATTCTAGGACACTGGCGTTCTGCAATTTAAGAGGCATGGTGTTGAATAATGAACCAAAGCTAGTCAAAGAAATCCAGGATCCTAAAAATGCCTTAAGCACTGGAAAAAGTCCACTGTCTACCTGTGATGTTACAGCTGTAATATTGCCAAATCTCCAAGCAGGAGATGTGTGAGCTTCACTGAACATTACAAATAGGAAAAATGAGCAACTGTTGAAAGCAAACAGAGAGCTAACTGACCTGCACTTTTCTGTTGTGTGGTGTTATCCTCCACAAAGCAAACAGCTGATAACTGCTTCCACCCAAGGAAAATATGTGCAACATGTAATTTTTTACTATTTGTCCTGGAAAAAAATATATTCTAGAAAGCTTGAGGAAATAATGAAGGGTAAGACCCAAGTGGTGTCAGAGTGACAGATACAACAAAGAACAAAGTTAAAGTACAATATTCTGATTTTAAGACAAAACTATGGAATGCTATCAGCTTGCACTGCTTTTGTATGAGCCTTTCAGAGGATGGACTGCTGAGAGCCTTTGCACACAGTGTTTTTTACTGACAAAACATTAAGTATCCAATACAACCCACCACGCCTAGCAACTTCAGTGTTTCCAGCAATATTCATCTATGGTATTAAGAACAAATGTCTCTTACCACCCCATCTGAAAAGCTTTTTGCAAGCTGTGAACATCAAGCAGAGAAAGCTTGGTAAGTTGCTATCTGAGATCTCTTTTAAGTTGTCAACTGAAGTTCTTTCTCCTGGCATGGATCTTGTTTCCAGTGTTATCCTGGTCGCAACAATTTGAGTATTTATGAGTATTTTCCTGTCCTTCGGTGGCTGGCTTGGAAACTGTTGAATTACTGCCGTAACGTAACAATTCACCGCAATGAAGTGCAAAATGTCATTTGCAGAATCTATATCTGAGTCAGCAGCACATACACAACACCCCTTCCTTTGAAAAAACAGCCCTGAAATTCATACATCACAACTGGTTTCAGAGAATTAGCCCCTTGACTGTTAGGAACTGCATTAATTACATTTATGGCATTCCTTTAGGAAAGTTTTGAACATGAAAGGAAATGTATGTGAAGATACCTGTTTTAAAGCACATATGAGACCGATATTCATGGTTACAGAAAATCTTTCTAAGCATATATATTATCACTGAACATAAACTGGAAGGGATGGGGATTAAAAAACATGGCTGAAAAAATAGAGAGATGAGTCACACCTTTACACATAAATCACCTTGAGCTGTGACTCAATTGGGAAGGAGATGTAAGTACGAATATAGCTCTTCACTAATGCATGGGACAGACGAAGGAATAAAGGCATAAATTACATGGGGACATAACAAAATAACAGAAGAGAACCATAAAATATGTACCTTGATCGAAAGGCTTGTTTGGATTCCAGTTCCTGAAATAATCATCCTAAATGGGGAGAAAAGAAAAGGAAACTCAGGAAAAATATAATCGGGTTTTTTTCAATACTAATTAAATAATTAAAGTACAAATGAATCAGCTCATCGTTTGATTCTAATATATTTAGCCCAAATCAACAGGTTGCGTCCTAAAAAGTAGTAAATACAGGTTAGAAATTGAAGAATAAAAAAAATTCCTTGGATTCAGCACCCTGACTTTTTCCTCTGAATTGTTTTTTAAACTGTGCCCGTTATTATATATTCTATTATTTCATATCAATCTACAACTTCTCATATCAAAGATAAGAACATATTGTTCAGATAACATAGCATAATCTATACCATCTTGGTGTGGCAAAAGGTCAAAGTAAATCCAAAAATACTTCCATTCATTTGGACGCATGGAAATGCCACCATTGTGACTGTACAGAAACACAGCAATAACATCATAACCATTATAAAGTGCAGTAATATCCAAGAGCGCTTGCAGAGAACACTTCTGTCACTGATCCCACTATTTAGTTTTTAAAAGCTTCTTAAATGTGATGTAAAGATATTATTCTGCTGTGAGTCTCGTGGTTCTGTTTTACATGGGTCTGACTGGACTTGAAAATGGAGAAGGCAGGAACTGTCAGAGTGCCTGAGCAAAAAGATCGTGTTGCAAACAAGTCTCCCTACAAAAAGGATGGAAAACTCTTCTGTGTGCTGGATCAATTTGTATTCTTTGTATGTAGCAAATATTTACCTGAAGGCAAAGTTCCCCCCACTTTGTGTGACACAGGAATTTAAGCCCAACTGCTGTATTTAGTTTCAGCGTATTCCGTATCTCTCACTTGTGTCCCCTTTGAGAGGATGGGGTAACAACAGAGTAATGCACTTGAAGTGAGGAAGCATGGAAGATTGATACGAATGTGATATTTTTCTGCATATCGATATTAATTTCCTTTTTAATACATTCAGTATTCTATAATTCATTTGTTGAGGGCTGCCACTGAAGAGATGTCTTTATCAAGCTGTCCCTATGTTTCTTTTTCCTGTCAGGGTGGTAACTGAAAACCCAGCAGTGTAAGAGGCCTGAATTATTTCTTCCATAGGGATTTCTTTACTATTTACCTCCAGTACACTGAATTTCACATGCTTTCATGTTATCTAGCCACCCTAACCTGGAGTATCTTGGAAACTTGGAAGCCAGCATGTCATGCTTTCTGGGGCCAGAATAGCCTACAGGGCTGTTGTAGGAGAAAGGGGGACTCTCCATGCCCTTGCTGAACACCAGGAGATGCACCTCACGGCAGCACATTCTCTCCTGAATGCTATGGACATCATGAGAAGCAGAAAGTGCCAACACCTCCAGCACGGAGAACTGCGGAATGTGCCATCCCGCTCCTCTCTGCTGCTCTGGGGGCAGGCGAGGATGGGCAAATGCTCCCTGTAATGAAGAGGCTGGATGTAATTCTGCATAAGTATCAGGAAGAAATGTATTTTGTTTCTGCAAGCATATTGATGCTCAGTGTCTATACTGACTTCATGGACAGTGACGATGTTCCACATTAAAAACAAAGATTATTTTTCATCATTTATTTCAGATACATCAAAAGTATCGATACTTTTTCTTCAGAAGCATGGGGTTTCAGCACCAGAAGTACAATCACAGACTTGCCTTTGAGTTCCACAGCTTTGTTAATATAAAACCCCCTCATGCTTTCACAATGCTTTGTAATTGATTATGATGTAGTGCTGAATTCACCAAGCATTAATCACTGTTCACAGTGTGTTGGGTTTTAAGCTTTTTGAGCAGAATAATTATTTTTTTCCAGCACCAAAATATTCTCTTTTTTTCCTTGCTTACATTTTTCCCTGGGTGTTGCTTTGCTGTTGGGTTTGCAGCATCAAAAACTGTTAAATAATTCAACGCCCAAGAAAGATTTCTTATGCTGGTGGCACACGGAAGCAGGTTTGAGATAAGGATTGGAAAGGGGGGGGGGGGGTTACCTCAATTTCAGTATCAATGGAATGTTTTACAGAAAATGCACCTTCCTCCCAAAATAACCTCCAAACCACCCATCTCTTCTGTAAACCTATTCTTCTCCTTTATGCAGACCTCTTTAGTATTCCTTTTTGAAAATAGAAACCATCTTTATTTTAGAATATGCCTGAAACTACAGTGTAACAAAGTAGGAAACTACACAAGAAAAAGTAAGAAAAAAAAGCCCTAAAGAGTAGAATAGAGGAGACCGTCTGGGTTTTCAATATATAAACCACATTATTATTTATAGGAGTAAATAATGACTATACATACGTTCAAGCAATATGGTCAATAGTTCAAAATCACTTATACCAGTTGTACAACAGAAAATAGAGCACTAGAGTTTCACTTCAGCACTGATGCCAGCAAGAACTGCAACTGAATGGTCATGGCACTGTAAAGGTGAAATTCATGCTATAGATATGGTTGAGCAGGAAATCTATGTCTTATTTAAATACACACCTACAGCTCTGGCTTGAAGAATGGTCAGGGCTTTGTGCCAGTACTCTGCAAGGTGCTGAAAGCCATACATTAACCTGAAATGGCTTTTGTTAGGAGGAGGAATAACTCCAAATGGATACCCTCATTTCACTGCAACTTCCTCCAACAGAAGAACAGCATGCTGATGTAGCAATAACAGCACCTAAACATAACATGAATTTCCAGGTGTGCGTGTATATATACATATATATACACATATATAAATACAATCAGCTTTATTAATGACATGTAACATTCCGATTCAATAAAACACCTTCCTAACAGGCAACTGCACAGAAATCTATGTGCTGCTGAGCTTTCTACTAGGACAGATACTAATGTGGTTAAAACACCTATGCCTACAGTAGCATACAAAGGTATTACATCATCTTAATATTAACATGTTAATAAATTGATATTAACACATTAATAATTAACATATAACGACACATTTATAACAATATTAACAGTTGCTCATAAGAGTTCAAAGTATAATATGAATTATGATATGTTGCAGATACTTTTATTTACTGTACCGATATTTACAAGTTAAAAGTGAAAAACCTACCTCAACTTCCTGAATACGCAAGCATTACAAATGAGAAAAGAAAAAAGAATGAAATAAAACAATATAAAAATATGTTAACATTCATCAGTTTTCTCCTTGGCGGCCTTTTAAATGTGAAATCACTTATTTCAGACAATCTTCACCTCCAAACGAAATAATCTCTCTCTTTTCTGACCTTTCCACCTTTGCTGTCACAGCCCAGTGTTCGTCTGCTGTGCTATTAGCACGTTGCTCTTGTAGAGCATCAAGAAAAGGTATTTTCAACTCCTTTGGGCTGTCAGACGAACCAAAAAGTGTTTTTCCACATATTCATCTGTTACGTACCTGATATAGAAGAATTATTTCTTTTTCCCTAGCTGCCTTTAAAGACTTTGACAGACTTTGAAGGGAAGGCAAAGCCAGGCACAGATCCACTTCAATACAACAGGTGACAGCAACCGAGAGGTACTTTTGATGACCAGATATTTATAAGTATCTTTCTCCTTACATAGAATTCACACTTGGAAGGTTTTGCCTGTGGTTCAGTGAGTCAATCTTTTAATTAACTGAAGGCACTCTGCACACATAAAAGCATGCACAAAAAGAGAAGACTTGATACTGCAAACCACAGCTGGATCTGACTCCCTTAGCTTAACCCTGCGTTAGATAAATGTGATGTACTGGCTTGGCCTCTGCATGCAGCCAGGAATGAACACAAACCCCAGACTCCAGGAGAATTCAATTGCAAGGCTTGGGACAGGAGCTGCTTTTTGCTTCTGTGTCGGTTCATCATGGAGAATCATGGAATCCTCCTTCAAAATTTTAGCCTCGGGACATTTAACTGAGAAATACTTTACAAGCACAGCAAATGAAAAGCAAACAGAAACTGCTGGACTTGGGCCTCCGTTCTGCAGTTTTATGAATTTGATTGAAGCAATCAAGAGATGAGGAGATGAAACACGTTCTGAAGGGATTTAAACCCCTTTTGCTATACCATGCACAATAAATTATTGCTTCTTAACAAGAACAAAATATTCTTTTATCATTCAATACATAGGTGTCAACTTACATCAATATACCATCAACAAAGGCGACCAAGAACATAATCATACGTTACACTAAGTATGCAAAGGGCGTATTAAAAAGCACGTGTTTAAAAGTCCACAAAAGCTTTCTTACAGGCAAAGCTATTAAAACATCATTCATCAGACCCCATAGACACATCAGAACTCATAGACTGGGTTCTGATTTGCAAAAGTCAAACCTCAAACTAGACCTGGGCCTGCCACAATTTCCCATTAGTCATATCAGAGACAGTAGTAAATAGACATTGACCCTAAGAGCAGGACATTAGTGTGACTGCTCTTCTCTTAACCTCCTGTATCACTACAATACCAATACAGTTAAAAAGCTGAAATTAACAGTAAAACCAAACAGTCCTGGCCTCTTTTCCCCCACCAACTAAGAAAGTAAACAACAGCTTCTTGTTCTCCTGAAGTTTAAGCGTTTGAGTTAATCCCATTAAACCTACTCCCTTGTCGCTTATTGGTTTAGTTATTACCTAAGACTTGGTATTGTGCAAGAGTTAACGAAGCATGCTTAATTTAACACACAGGCACTCTCTATACTTATTTTATTTACTTGTCAAAGAAGCTCCTGCAAGATGCTCTTGTTTATAAATAGAGCCAAACATGAGCTAAATGGGTGCATAAATATTTATCTTTTGGTGCATTAATTAAGCTTCTAAGTTATTTGTATGAATCAAACAGAAATGAGATGCTGACTGAAAAACCCTGCACAGAAAATCCTCCCCATCACAAATCCCTCAGCCCAGGTCCTATCCTGAGGAAACTCATATACAGGGTGTAACCCCAAGGACTGTGAGATAACCTTTAGGAGGTAATCTTCCTTCCCAGCCAACAAGAGCCTAAATTTCAAAGTATCTCCAGGAGGGATG